CCTACGCTCGGTTCGCAATAAACAACTGCGCCTCCCAGTCGCGAACCCTTTCAACTCCCCCTCCCATTCCTCAGATAACATATCCATCCTGGGCCTCCTGCTGTGCCACAACGATGCCACCCGAAGGTTGCAGGAACAGCAACTCATATTCCGCTTGGGAACCCTGCAGCCCAATGGTATCAACGTGGACTTCATAAGCTTCAAAATCTCCCCTCCCCCTACTGCCTCCCAAAACCAGCCCAGCTGCTCCCCACCTCCCTAACCTGTCCTTCCTCCCACCAATCCCCTCAAGCCAAATCCCCATCTCCTATCTACCAGCCTCATCCCGCCCCCTTGACCTGTCCGTCCTCCCTGGACTGACCTATCCCCTCCCTAACTCCCCACCTACACTCACCTTTACTGGCTCCATCCCCGCCTCTTTGACCTGTCTGTCTCCTCTCCACCTATCTTCTCCTCTATCCATCTTCTATCCACCTCCCCCTCTCTCCCTATTTATTTCAGAACCCCCTTCCCCGCCCCCATTTCTGAAGAAGGATCTAGACCCAAACGTCAGTCAGCCTCTCTGCTCCTATGATGCTGCTTGGCCTGCTGTGTTCATCCAGCTCTACACCTTGCTATCACAGAATCGACCCACTTTAAATTTTGCTTTACAGAACAGAAGGCTACAGTTACTGCAAATTTATTTTGAACACGTTATTTCCTAACTTCAGCGGAATTTACCTTGACACTTCCCAGTTCATACTGAACTCCTCCTCCAAACCATATGACAAAGGTTTACTTCCTATTTCCTGTGCCGCAGCACGTCTCCAGGATCAGCGAATCAACGCGCAACTTTCTTCTAAATTAACCCAGGGAATGAATGAATCCCGTGCTTATTTGTTTAAATGGAAAAGCGAGCACTTTATCAAATAGATTCGAATTTCACACACAAACCCTCAATACTTAGCTGTAGCAAAATAAATTAATGTCATTGGAACTTGCAAATAAATTACTTCGGCGAGTTGAAAGTATTTTTTTATTCCCTTACAACTTTTTCCATTGTTCAATTGAAACAAATACATTTTAAACCCTTAAGAGGTGGAAAAAAGTAAAACATGAAATATATCACTAGCATGAGATTTTATTTAATTCAAATACCAGGTTCATTTAAATCTCTAGGGAAGATATGTGATTTTTTGTGTAGGAGAAATGGTCTAATTGTTAGTAATTGTGCTAAAGACATTTTGAGTGGCTTGCTATTTCTGTCGGGTTGATTCATAAAGTTTCCCCAGTTGGTTTATTTCAGTATTATTTCTGGGGGAGGGGAAATTTGAAGTTTGTTAGGTGTGTCTGGTAGAGAGCTTTTCCACGCCCTCAGGATCTGGCGCGAAACAAAGCCATGCTCGATAGGGAGTCCTGTTAGACTTCTTGTAGGGTCAGTGTGTCTGAGCTGAGTTGATTCAAAATTCTGGAAATATTACCTCATTTAGAGGGAAGCAGTTTTTCAAAATGATCGGGCAGAAAACCATTGCATCGTATTTCGGTCCTGTGGCTAAGAAAAGAACTTTGTCTGAAGTTTCGGAGGAAGGAGTCGAGAATGGGAAGGACAGCTATCAAGAGGAGGTAAACTAAAAACAGTCATTTAGACTCGGAATGTTAGCTTGCCGTTTCTGTTTGAATGCTGCCTGACCCGCTGTGACTCCAGCATTTACTGTTTTCAGTAAACTAAGAGTCGACTGGTGCCAGACCTGCTGAGTTTCTCCAGCATTTTCTAGTTTTATTTCAGATCTACAGCATTCGCAATAATTTTCCTTTTAAGTGCACGCCTTACTTTAAAAAGCATGAAATCGAGGTTGAATTGCGAATAGTATTAAATCGAGTATTCTGTCGCTCTAATATACGTGAGTTTTTGATTAACTATACTTGCTTTTGAAGAGTTTGAACTTTCCTTGAGGGAGGAGTGGTTTGCAATTTTGAGTAATTTAGAAAGTTTTCTGTAAAAACACCGATTCCGTTTGTTTCCCCCCAGCTGTGTCTCCGTCTTGGTGTCACTTAATGGCAATTACGATAAATCTTAATGTGGATTAATTTGGTAAATCGATAAAATGGAGTTCACTGAGATTTACGGAGGGGAAAAAAAGTTGCATTTTATTCACAAATCCCACTTGTATTTCAACATGAATTTAATGAGTTACAGGCTTTTTTTATTGTTTGTATCTAAAATAAGCTTTTGGCTCTCAAAGTGTCTGTTGTGCGTTCTTTTGTCTTTGCGAATTTTCCAGAGGAAGCCTATTAGTCTTTTCCCTCTTTTATTTTAATTCAGAGTTGGCGGGAAAGGTTGCTTGTGGAAGGGGGCAAGTTACAGAAGTAGGTGGGATCAGCCAATGGGAGCGCGGGGGTGGGGCCGAGATGGAACGTAGCGACCAGAAGGGGCGGGGTTTGTGAATATCTCCCGCGAATCTCGGCCCCTTACTTGCGGCTGTCGGTGTGAGAATGGAGATCTTACGGTCATTCGGTATGTCTGGGCACCGGCTCTGCCCCCGCTTAACCCGCCTCTACCCCCGCTTAACCCGTCTCTTCTGTCTCGGTGACCAGGAGCACAATGGCATGAGGACCCCCGTCAAGAAGCTGAAGGCTGGCCCGGACGGAGAGGAAGCGCCGCCGGTCAAACCCAGCTCCCCGCTCAGCCCCGAGCAGCTGTCCCGCATCGAGAGGAACAAACAGGCGGCCCTGCAGAGACTCGCAGCGCGCAACGTGCCCCCGGGCTTTGGGGAGAGCTGGAAGAAAGAGCTGCTGATGGAGTTCAGCAAACCGTACTTTATCAAGGTTGGGAGGAGAAGGGTTTTTATTTTGTTTTATACCTGCACCGTCTTCATCGCACAACAGAAACTTTACAGTTGCAGTTCCCAAGTAGAGGCCCAACTAACCAAGTTTCTCTCTCCACAATGCTCCCATACCAGCTGAATTTCTCCAACGCTTTTTTTCAGTTTTATATTTCACCCCGTCTCCTGTCTTAAAATCTCTTCTTGTTTTAAGCCTACGGAATTCTATCTTTTTTCCATTTCTAGTGATCAACTTTTAACATCGACCCTCTGATCTCTCTTACAGACCTGGTAGCACTCTCTTTATTTCAGATTTTCAGCATTTGCAGTGTTTTACTTTCGAACTTAATGTTTCTATATTCTTTAGAAAGATTACAATTTCTTTAGTCTTATCAATCTTTAGTGTGCAGTTGCTGAAATGACTTTCAAAAGTTTACATATTCATTTTAAAGATCTGGTTGCTTATTATTCTAGTGACAAGACTATGATTAATCAGGTCAATCACTTCAGAACCCATTGTTTTAATCCAGGTGTATGTTCCTAACCAGATCACTAAATTAGAAACGAGATTTGCATTTGTATAGCACTTTGTGTACCTACTAGCTGTCTCAAAATGCTTTTCAACCAAAGAGGGACTTTTAAAGTGTAGTCCCTGTTATAACATGGGACACGTGGTAATCGATTTTCATACCGCGAGCTCCCTCAAACAGTAATGCAATGATAAGATTGCTTTTTGTTTTGGTAACATTGATCAAGGGTTACAAATTGGCCAGGATATTGGGTCAGCTCCTGTGCTGTCACCACTTCAAAGAGCACAGTACAAAAGGATAGCAGGAACTGCAGATGCTGGAGAATCCAAGACAACAAGGTGCAGAGCTGGATGAACACAGCAGGCCAAGCAGCATCACAGGAGCAGATTGTGATGCTGCTTCGCCTGCTGTGTTCATCCAGCTCTACACCTTGTTGTCACAGTACAAAGGGAGCGTGGTAGTGTAAGAGGAGACTTATTGGAGTCACAACCTGAACTTCTGTGCTGAGGTTCTGGAGTAGAGCTTGAGCTCGGAGTTTTCTGACTCCGATGAGAGTGTGCTGGGTCGCTGGACATACCAGAGTGAGGTGCCACAGGGTGAAAGGTATTACTCTTTGCAGTCAGATTGTGTTTTACCCCACTCCTGGCACTGCAAGTTATCCTTGCCTCCTAGTTTTAAAGCCTGGAAAGTGTCTGCCTGTTTCCATGGGCTGGGGTGGTGCTCCTGGATAATGTGGGGCAAATCTTTCAGAATAGTATTTGTAGATAGTGCATTCACTGATTCATTTATTTTTCTGAGATGTAAAGTAGTAACTGAACCTCTATCTGATGCCAATTTAAATCTGCTGTTTGTTTGCAGCTAATGGGATTTGTAGCATCAGAGAGGAGGCGGTGCACAATTTACCCACCACCTCATGAAGTCTTCACGTGGACAAAGACATGTAACTTCCACGATGTGAGTACCACAAAGTCATTCACTTGAATTGTGCACTGCATTCGGTGAATGTATCTTGCTGTATACCATCAAGCTGCACTTTATTTTTGAAGCAAGTATTCTGTTTTCAGATTGGGTGGGAAGGGTTTTGTAAGTGTGCTACCATGAAGGCGTTAACTCACCTTGGAGCTAAAGGCTTGGGGTTTCCAATTCACTCCAGAGACCGAAGCACAAGCTCGTGCAGAACCATGGACCTCAGACGAGCAACTGCATTATTTTTGAAAAAAATAAATACTGGCTAGAAATATGGAGTAAAAAGTAAGCTGATAATGGCTTTATTTATGAACAGTACAATGCCAATATATACAGGTTAGCATTAATTCCACTTTTGATAAAATCAGAAGAAATGGCAGCAGGAATAGGTCACTTGGTTCGTTGACCTGCTCCGCTAATATAGGTTCCTTTTAGTCTGTTTATAAATAAATGTACCAAGCATGCAAACCAAGAGAAACGGATGAATTGACCTTTTTATATTTCACCCATTTGCATACTCCTGAGACTAATATCTGTGGCAGGTTGGCTTTGATGTAAAGAGCTTGTATTTAGCATCATTCATGTTCTCAAGGTATTCCAAAGTGTTCTGTAACTAGTGATTCATGTAACATGTCATTGATGTTATGCTCACAAAAGAAACAACCAGCGTGCACAACAAAGCCAAATTCTCCCAACCAGAGATAGTAGCGTCAGCTTTCCTGCTCCTCTGATGCTGCTTGGCCTGCTGTGTTCATCCAGCTCTATACCTTGTTATCTCAGATTCTCCCAACCAGAGAT